TTTGATTAAGTTGCCTGATCATTCTGAGGTTTTTTTTTGGTGTTACATGAATCAAATCAATCAGAGCATCAGCTCTCGTTCCCTTTAAGAGCAAAGTGTGCCTACTGGCTGGCGCATTGTTATTTACCCGGCAGATTTCAGTCTTTATTCATATATACACTGAACCTTGGCTGGCTCTTTTAAATTCTCTCCTTTCATTGAGCATGCAGAACATACACAGGTTATATTTAGTTGAAGCAAAAACAGAGACTATCAAAAAGAAGCAGGGAACATTCCTGCATGAGGCACAAAAGTGTATCAGAGAAAAAAAAGACTACTTGTCTCCTGCCACATTTGCTGAAAGAAGATCCTTTGGATGGAAACGTTGCCCTTAATAAAGATGCTGAACAGTGTACAGACCTTTTCCTTTTTTTGGGCAGTTTTTACTTTTTTGTCCTACACCTGTATGCAATTTACTTGGATGTGTGCAGACCAGTGTATCCTCATTAATTATTAAAATAACAGCAACAGGATCATAGAGGATCTATGTAAACTAAAGGTCAAATAAAGGTAGGCTGTAAACGCGTTTTTACCTATTTTCTCTGCTGGAATCTTTGGTTACAATGGACACTAGACAGTCTGTGTTAATATGTGTGGGCTCGATGTTTGGCAGCACTGAATGTAACGTATAAGAATGACTCTCTATCCAGCTCTCTGTTGCATGCATGTAAGTGTTTGCTTCTGCACGTGAGCACACCTGGCAGAGAGCTCAGTGTCGTACTCAGCTTTAGGCTGTGTGCAGCCCAAAAGGTAGCAGAGCAGCTGCTAAACAGAGCAGTTGTAGCGCTGCTGTGCTTCCCCTTTGTGCTTAACGGGCAGACTAGAATTTTGTTATGAACTGAATTTATGTATTTCCATCTTTCTAATGTATTCTCTAAAGGGCAGGAACAAGCTGCACCATGGACCTAACACCAGGTTTTAGGTGGTTTATGGCGCAGTTGATTTCTGCATCGTCAATATAGGATAATAAAAGGGATGGCAATGTGAATAATAATAATAATAAAGACATCATCATAATAATTTATTTCTTAAAGTGCAACCAGAACAACAAATAAGGCACCATTAAAGGGGCTATATGTAACTTTCAAAAATACTGCATTTGTAGCGATACCACATGGCCGTTAGTCGAACTGCACCATACACAACTCCGCTTTTGCGGAAAATACGACCCAGGGAAAATTTTTATACAGGCAACACAGATGAACATCTACTTTTTCACATCAGTTAACCGTTTGTTTATTAATGGGTGATAAAAAACTATTTATACATGTAAAAAGTTACATATAGCCCCTTTAAGCTTATAGTGATCTTATTAATGAGCACATGGCTGGAACCCAGTCTCTCTAAGAACACCCTGACATTCAGTAAAAAGGACAGAAGTGCTCCAATTTGCAGGAAGGCTATTATTAGGCTGCTTTTGATGCTATGCGCCGGTACATAAGTGCTGTCTCAAGAAAATGACATGCACTCATTTGATCGTCATTTCCTCCTTTTAATCAGAGAAATACAGGGAATTATCATGCTACAGGCCCTAAGAGTTCAACAGCTCACGGCGATCCTTTGTTTGATAAGAAGTCATAAAGCAAAATATCAGATCTAAAGGTAAAGGATTAAATATCAATCTTCCTCATACATGCTCACATTACATCTATAACTGTGGCTGAATGTTTTGAATCACAACAAGTTTAATTCAAATTATATACTGTACATGCTGTTCCGTTAAATTGTACATCTTAACATAAATGTTTGAGAATATTTACGTCGTATTATTTTAGCCCATCTAAGACCTTTGACCTTATTTTAAATCAACATGTCAAAAAACACTACTTTGTCTTGTGATTTTGATAATTTGTCTATTTTTGTTTAAATATGCTGATGACAATGATGATTCTAGCAGCTATGGGTTCAATTCTTTGTACGCAGAGACGTCATTATAAATATGCCCCCATGGGTGCTGATGAGTTTACAAATATCTAATGGCCAGAAGTTCTCTTGACAATAAATCTTTTTTGGTACATGTAGATGACTGTGAAGCACTTTGTAGTAATTCAGTCATTTATTTATTGCATAGTATGCAAGTGATAATAATTGGGAATCACCATTAATATGTGCTTAAAAGTGACAAATCTTGTGACAGAAGCAGATTTCAATGTGGAATGTTGTCTAAACATACATGTTGAATCAACAGCTTCAAATAGTTAGTGGAAAACTTTGACCTTTGAACCAGTTTTCAACATCCTTTCAACAGAAAATTGCTCGCTTGAAGTTATCAGCACTGTGAAAATGGTTTGAATCAGCCACATGTTTGTTTGGATGCTGCATGTCATTGAACTGCTCTTCGCTTTTGACCTCCATATGGTAGCCAAAGCATTGGTAAATAAGACCTTCCAATAAGCATTCTTTATTAAAATACAGAGGAGTCTTTCACTAGAACCAACAGGAAGAAGTCATAAACATATCTATTTTTTTTTTTAACTCTAGTTCTATAAATTGTAACACTTTAATTACAATCCCAAAAATAAGAGACACATGGAACATAAGGACGCTGTAAGTGGAGTGGCCATTGATTCTGGCGGGTTCATGGGATAATCTGGTTTCCGCTTTTGCTGGTGCGCAGATGGCACTGGGAAGGGAAAAATGGGGACAGGCAGGCTATAGGGCTGCTGCTGATATTCACCCCTAGATAAGCCCTGCTGTTCAATGAACAATATCGACCAGCCGCTCTGTGCATCCCAATCTAGATACAGACTGCTGTCGTCAGAGAGAAGATAGACAGAACTAAAGACAGAAATATAGGCTACATTTGTTTCTGTGGGTGCTTCCAGGGTCTCAAAGATATGATCACTTTAACTTGCCATTCGCTGCACATAGGCAGGAACTGTGAAGTTATTACACAGAACAGAACAGCTGTGGAGTAGCAAGAATGCATTCCACTTTCATTATCCATTATTACTTCCATCCAGTCATCGGCAGGCACCAGAAGTAGGCTTGTGTTTCACACAATCAGCCCCCATCAGCCTGAGCCCATGCATGTGTATAGTGTTAAATGTTTGTCCTGATTGCTTCTGCATTCCTGTGTGGCGAGCTGGTGTGTGTGTTCTGCTCAGCTGGGTTTGGCCTCCTGCCTGCATGCACTGTCTCAGATTAGTTGTAATTAACGTCTCTCCACCTCACGTGTAACAAGCTTGGCAGGAATTGCAATGAAATGATCACTTGCTCTGATTCAAGTGGAATGGACCTTTTTTAAATTCATGTATTAAAGAAGAGAAGCATAGCCTTTCTGCCCTTAACCTTGCAGAAACAAAGACAGAAAAAGTGAATAGAACAAGAGATAGACAGAGAAGAAGGCACGGGAGGTAGAGATAGAATGACAGACAGAGAGAAAGAGACATAGAGAGGAAGGGAGGATTAACTTCTCATCTAGTCTTTGCTGTTGCATAGATTGTAAGTAGCTTATTGCACAAAGCAGCCTGCATGTAACCGGTGCGTTTGCATGATTTGTTTGGGAGTTTTTTCATCTGTGTGTTGGACAGCAATGACCTCAGGCAGGCGACTGAGAGCTTTGGGCCTAAAATAGTCAGACTGAAGAATCTGGCAGGCTCAGTGCGTCTCAAACTGCATCCAAATCTATAAAAGGGCAACAGGTTTACTTTGATATAAACCACGACATCTGTGATCCTGGATGTTATAAAAGGTATAGGGATTCGGTGAAAATCTTGACTAGATTGTGCTTCTCATCTACTTTAATCAATGTGTACACAGCTAAAGGAGCAGTTAAGATCGGCTATGTATGAAAAGTTATGGGACTGTATAGAATGATTATGAGATGAGAGTGATTTTACATTTCAACTTAAATTAGATTTTTTTTCATTGAAAGAGTGAAACTTCCCCCTCATTCTTAAACTCTCTAATAACAATGGGATATTCAAGAATCATTGTTATGATTTAAATAAGTCTTCATATTGGGGCTGATTTGGGTATTATGCTGTCAGTTATTTAAACAGAGAGTTGTATGTTTCCTATTGCAGATGCCCTTTCATGAAATTCAATTGGGTGCTCATTGAAATCCCTCTCTGCAGTGATTCGCATTGTTAATCCTATTGTTTTGTTTGATCCGTTTTATTCAACTTTAACTTATTTGAATCTTTTTGATAATCTCTTTTTTAAGGATTCAGCTTTTATGCCTCTATAGACAGGATAGTGAATAGAGTTGGAAACCTGGGTGAGAGAGAGACAGAGAGAGAGAGAGAGAGAGAGAGAGAGAGAGAGAGAGAGAGAGAGAGAGATAGGGGGAATGACATGCGGGAAAGGGGCCAAAGGTCAGACTTGAACCATGGCCGCCCGCCCTGAGGACCACAGCCTCTGCACACAGGGTGCAGGAACCATCATCCAGTCGTTCACGTAATGATTTTTAAATAATCCAATATCCAATATCCAATATCCTCCATCTGAGGCAGTCAATTTTCTCAGAAGGAAACTCAAATAGCGTAAAGGCTGGACAAATGTGATGTTTCGTATTGCCAGCAGCCCTGACTTTCTCAGGCACTTTAGTATAACATGACAGTAGTATTAACTACAGTCAAATGCAACAGGGTGCTGTCTGCAGCAACCTTGTTTTACATGTATGTTTGAGGAGGAAAGAAGCTGCTGGGTGAGCGCAGGTATGTCTTCTTTAAAGTTTTGTACACCTAGGTTTAATTAGGTTTATTTCATTTGAACGTAGGACATAAATCAAAATAAGGAGATGACTTGATGCAACAGGTGAAAGTGAGTAGCTTTCAGTACAGAAGATGTACACACAGTTTCTTTCTTGTGTTTGTGCTTAGAGTATGTGATTACTGTGTGTGTGTGTGTGTGTGTGTGTGTGTGTGTGTGTGTGTGTGTGTGTGTGTGTGTGTGTGTGTGTGTGTGTGTGTGTGTGTGTGTGTGTGTGTGTGTGTGCGTGTGTGTGCTGCTCTTACCTGGATACAACGAGGGGCAGAATGAGCATTTTCAACATCCTCATTAGCAGCTCTCCAGGAAACTGGAAGTACTTCACCTCCTGCAAATGGCACAGTAAAATGTTTATACACAATGTCCAACAATGCAAGAAAACTGAAAAGCATATGTTGTTCACTTACATGACCATTTGTAGGAACACAAAACATTTTTTGAAGACCCAGTTGGATGTTCAAAAACTGTCTCAAAAATGTTCATGCAGGGCATGGAGTTCCTCAGGGATTAGTCCTTGTTACTCATTAATTTAATCATAGCTTATATTAAATATAGGAAACTCCTTCTATTTAATGATGTTTATGATGGACAACTATAACCCTTAGCCAAATCAATTCAGTTAATGAATGCAATGAGAACATCTGCTACCAATGCTTAAAAACATTGATTGATTATTGATGGTATGGATGCTGAAACTAACAGGGGGAAATTACATGGTAAAGCCAGTCTTTAATTCTTCCCTTCAATTCAATTATTTGACACTGTGGGAAATTAATGTGTAGGGTGTCAATTACTTGCCCAGAATTGATTTACGACATACAATTGGATAACAGAAACACCTTACTTTACAATCTGTTCCTCGTTCTACATACTGACCTAACATTCGACAAACATGTAGGTTTTTTTTATTATAAATAACTGAAACTTACAAAGTTGTTTTACATTAGTGGACATACGAGAATGAATATGTGGATTTATCAAACCCAGTCCTCTACCAGTGATTTGACTTTTCAAGAAAAAAACACTTCAATTATGCAATCAAAAAAAGCCTGTTGCAGACCTGATGGCTGTAAGCAATGTTTTGACAGACAGAAAAAAAAGTAAACACTAAGTGCAGTTGCTTTGGTTTTTTCCAGTTTACTTTTTCATTGTTGGTCCTCAAGCAATGGATGGCCTTGCTAAAAGAAAAAAAAAGTTTGATCTCCTACAAAGCTATTAGCCACAGAGAGCACTTTGTCTTTTTGCTTCCTGTGTTGAATTCAAAATCTTAAACTGCTCTTAACTTTTGTGCTGTTGTTGCTACACAAGTCAACATGAATAATTTTCCCCCCACTCCTTTTTAAAATGTTCTTTGAACTGTTTCCTGTTAATAATGTTGGTTGCCCTTCAGCACTGAACATGTGACATGTTCATCTGTTTGAGTAGTTGGAAAATATGTGTCATAATTGATTATTAAGTAGTTGTTGAAAATAAGTGTTGAAAATAAAGGTGTAATAAAGGCGCAAACACATTCACACCTTTCTAACACACCACCTGAATATAAAAATAATTTCTTGACTTTCATCTCATTTAAATGTATTTGTCTGTATTGTTGTTTTGTATCTTTGACATTTTATTATTGCTGTTTTTATTCATTTAAATCCATTTTTATTGTGTTTTATCCTGTACAGGACTTTGGTCATGTAAGGTGGTTTAAAATGTGTGATACGGCTGTTTGTTCCCTGCGCTGTTTATCCCTTCTCCCCTTCTGTTGTCTTCAGCTCTGCCCAGGTGAAGCTATTGATCAACTAACGAGGTGCAACTAACGAGGTGCACCTGGACTCAGTGCTTAAAAGGCCAGTGCTAGATTTAGGAGAGGAGAAGCTTTTGGAATTGGGACTTCTGTGGCACACAGTGAAGGATTTTGTATTGTTGTATTGTTGTATTGTTGTATTGTTGTATTGTTGTGTTGTTGTGTTGTGTTGTGTTGTTGTGTGGTTAGTTTTTGAGTTAATATTTGTTATGATTTAATTGTCTGTCTATTGATAATAAATCCCTTAGTTTTGACTTTGGTAAGATGTATGATATGTTTTATTGGGTCAATTTGTGGGATATTTTTAGCCACATACAGCCTCCTTATTGTGGGGCATAACGTGATTTAGTGAATATTGCTTATTGATTTATATAAAAATAAACTCTGACTTTGATTTGATTGTGCTGCTGTGCTTCTTAAATATACAAACTGTTGAGTATAAATACAAATATCTTTTACAGAAAGAAAACGTTCATGACCATGAAGTAGAAAGAATAGTCCGCAAACCAGAAGCTGCTCCAATTAAATTAAATTAAATGGAAAATTTACCACCTGTAACGTTTCAGGCCTTGGCCCTTGTTCAGACATGAACATGGTTAAGGAAGTTATGCATTGTACAAGCCTTTTTTATACACACAAAGCAAAAATGATGCACATATCTTCAACAGTTCTTTACACATTGTCAAACACTTACTTCTTTATCATCCTTTTTAATTATAGATATGGTTAAAAACATGGGCACTCAGCTGCAGTGTGTTATTAGCTTATATATCTGTGTTGACATAAGTCTTCACAGAAGCATCGATATAACATACAAAGCAAGGCAGCCAGATTCAGTATGAACTGTGAAGAGAATTCTATAAAAACTGAAGGCTTGTTGTACTTAATGATATCTGTGTATTCTCATTTGTATTCATAGATAAACCTAATTTATAGATATCGACAAACAACCATTCCCCCTACATCCACACCTACAGGCAATTTAGAGTCACCAATTAAACTAACAAACATGTCTTGGACTGTGGGAGAAAGACAGAGTTACCAATCAACAGATTTTTATCTCAAGTGTTCTGTTTTTCAGGTATAGTACTCAACACAGTCTCTTGGCAGATCTAAGATATTGTTAGTTCTCAAGTGTACCTGTTGATTCACTTCAAAACCCTAAGCTACGATCATGCTGTTTCTCATGAGCAGAACAAGTAAAATGAGATTACTAATGAGATTAAATGAGCTGCATGAGGAAAATCACTCTTTACATCCTGCTTAGCACTAAATGACAGACCTGGTGAACACTGGGGAGCAGCAGCTAAAAAGCTGGTTGGTGGTGACCACATGCAGAGGCTCTGGTTCTTAAAGAAGGCGCCTGGAATGACATTTGTTGAAAAAAACTGTAGAAAACGAAACAATGGTGTAGAGTAGAAAAATCAAAAAAATCAAATGATGACAAATCTGTGCAGTGAGATGATGGATTTATAAAAGCTTTAGGCTCTGTTTGTTTTGAGAGAGCTTTAAGGCTAAATGGCTGAGTGAGTATGAGAGGGAGGAAGTGTGTGTTTGTTTTTGGTTATAGTCTGGTCTGCAGCAGTGGCATCGTTTTAGAAAAATTCAACTATGAAAATCTGAAGTGACATTAAAGATATACTTGACTATAAAAACTTGTTTAAAACATGTACAGCCACCTCTTATAATCACATTGCCTAATGTTTGGACATGTATTTTGGTGCATATTTCAGCACCATGGACAGAAGGCAGGTGTCTTATTGTCAGTACAGTACGGATATGTTTTAACTTGAGGGATCTCTATTCTTTTTTGTAAAGGACAGTCGAGTGTCAGGTGAGGGGACGATATGTAGCAAAGTGTCAAGGGATCGTAGTCAAACACTGACTGCCAGGTTTATGACCTTAAGCCTCAGTACATGGGGCGGGGATAGTCCATCCATCTACTTTCTTTCTTTCTTTCTTTCTTTCTTTCTTTCTTTCTGCAGGAAAAATAATCTATTACTGTATCCTGTCCTCTTAATGGAACAAACACACTCACTGTTTATTCAAGATGTGTGGTACCCCTAAGTACACAAAGACACACACGAGGCCCATGAGCTGGAACATGTGCATATAATTATACATGCATGATATGTGTCTTTTATTACATCCTTTTCTGTGTAATGGTTTTAATACTTTTGTAGAATTGACTATAAAATACATTATGAGCTGCAGGTAATGCACCCATGAATGCTCTTGGCTTTTTCAATGTTTTTGTGTACTGTTAATCCACCTTCGACTTCCATGTTCCCTGAATGTGTGCAGAACTTTAGCATATACTGTTAATGAGTGTCAGTTACAATCAAGCTCTTTCCAAATCTGTGCCCACGATGTCAATTAAGTGTATCAACCCCAGGTTATTCTCTCTGTGTAATTCTGAGAATGGTAATGTTCTTAAGAAATGGTGATAATTAAATGTCTTACATCAATTAGCAAATAAGGGTTTCTGAGAGCTAAGGGAGAGCAACCAGAGCCTCAACAAGGTGCAGTGACCGTAGGTGAATCCAGAAAGGTTTGTTGTGCTCTGATAACAAAAAAGAAAAACTAGTTACTCAGATAAAAAAGGTTAAACAAGAAAAAGATTAACACACCACTCTAAATTAAATATACTGATTGTATTCTTCTTCTTCCAATTAGTCTGTAAGTAAAACTGCAAAAGATATCCCTTCATAAGAATATATAAGGTATGTGAAACAAAGGATGTGCACCAAGGCCAATTTACTGTAGGATGTAGAAAGCAGAAGAAGAAACCATGATGTCTTTATTTTTGAAATGCTGAATCTCTCCTTTGTGTATCAAATTTACCTTGAAGGCGCTCATTCAGAAAATCTTAACCTGAAGTCACCCATTTGTTTGTCAACTTCCCTTTTAAATCTTAAATTTGCCATTTTGGCCATTGCTATCTCGTATTTCTTTTTTTAAAACCAGAAATTACGATAATTGGATGGATGTGCATCTTATGTCCCCTGTCCTGGTAGCAACGTATCAATCACAGATAGCCACACCCCTAATCAGACTCTGTGCCATTTAACTCAGCTTGGGATCATCGTATTGAAGATGAAGCTCATTGTTCTCTGAAGAGTCCACACTGCTGACCCTGTTGTTATCCTTTTTCTCAACGTTCTTTAACATGTGTCATGCTAGCCATAAAAAGAGAGAGAAAGTCTTGTTTTTTCTCAGGCTCTTGTTGGCTAAAGTAGCCAGGAATAGTGAGTAGAAGGTCAACGTAAGCTTCTATTAAAACCAAAACCAAGTGACCTCCACTACTAATTTAGAATCTATGGAGAAAATGTTTGCATGTATTTTTTTTTCCATGATCACAGTGTGAACATTTCTGTCCTCAGCTCTATTTCACCGTCACCGAAGCAGATGCTACACGGTCTACTTTAATCCAGCTCCAGCACCCTCTTCATTATCTACTAAACACTGAAATCTATTTTGCTACAGTGACAGAAACAATTCTGTGAGGAAGCAGCAGATTGCTTGTTCATACAATTTAATTATTCTGCTCTCATTGAGGGATCAAAACTCTCCATGTGTGACCTCGTTTTAAATAAATTAAATTATTTCTGGATCTGCTTGTGTAGGGACATTTTTTCCTGCTTTTTGTTGTGAAGATTATTGCTCATTTTGAGTTTTGGCTGATCAGGGTTATGAGAGGCACTCGGGCAGCTAAAAGGCTATTTTCTATTTCCTTCTGAGGGATTTAAAATCATCCTGACAGGGACATTGTGGGCAGATTGTTCAGCCTCTTGCCCACATTCTCAGCTCTTTGTGTGTTTGTGACAGAGATACAAAAAAGGAACAGTGCTTGTCAATAGAAAACCACATTCTCTCTAATCTGTCACTTATTTTAGTCCTCTGTGACTGCTAAAAACAGGCACAATTTATCCACATGGTATCTTAAGTTACCCCTTGGTTTCCTTTTGATTTTCTCCTCTTATGTTGGTTTTTATGAGTTCTTGCTTGCCTTTTTCCTATTTATTAAAAGTAAACTGAATGTTATGGTTTAACAGAATGTATAATATACTTTATTTTATTATTGTTATTAAAGGAAGAATGTGTGACTTTTTGATCCAGTAGATGTCGCCCTTGAGCACCAGCATGAAACCAAAACAAACTGCTGTTTGGCGACACCTCCGCCACACTGAAGCCTCCCCTCTTCTCCAGCGACACACCTCCAACTCCCCTCTTCTTGCGTTCCCACAAAGGGGTTTAGCGCAAGCGGAGAACAAAATTGTCCTAGGATCGAGCTGTAATTGCCTGTGGCTTGCATTGTTGTGTTAGGCTTATGTTAGCACACTTTAGTTAGCTCGTAGCTTCACATGACATATACATTTACAAAGAATGACCATGATCTAAAAATGCTTACGTGACATCCCAATAAGCAGTGAGTATGTTCTTCTTCTGTTCTCTAGTCCTGGACTAAAACACCTTTTATACACCAGGAGAGGAGCCGGCCGCCCGTTCCATGTAAACATGATGTTAACACGTCTCTGCTGTACTGTTGTCAGAGACTCACGCTCACGCATAGACAGTCATGACTCAGAGACATTTTTATTGGATAAACTTAATTTATGCCATATTATATTTTATAATGTATATTATTATGTAATAAAATGTTACACATTCTTCATTTAATGATGTATACTCAGTTTCTAAAGCAACTGCAACTATAGAGCACTTTTGTCACTTGACTTGACTTAACCACCACAAGCTTATCAACTAGGACTCTAGATTACCTGTTTCCTTCCTTCCTTTATACGGTCTCTAAATTCAAATCAAATAAGCCTACACTTGAGCCTAAAGGTTAAGCCCTGATACTTATAGCACTTTCTCTAGTTTTCATCCACTCAAAGATTTTACATATGACATTCACACACTGATGCCAGTAGAAACGTATCAGATTCATAAATATTCACATGTTGATGGCTATGCCATTAGAAGCAATTGAGGGTTTAATATTGTTTCTAAGGACACTTCAACTTGTGAACTGCAGGAGCTGGGGATCGAAAGACAACTGACTCTACCACTGAGCTAATGCCATCCTGTTAGATCATATATTTAATAAACGATGGTAAAATGGTTACCTTTGCACAGGTTGGACAGACTTCTTGAGGCAGAGATAAGCTTTAATCTGCACAGTGAGCCACATAAAGTCACATAATGCTTTTTGATGGCACACGCTGAGTCTTTTAAGTAGCATGTTTCAGGTCAGTATTCTTTGTTTACATCTGACTCCAGGTTCTCATTTCTTTCATAAATCAGTTTAAAACCAATCTTGGAGTTGTGAGAGTCTCATGGTTCCTCATCATAATTAGGAACAGTTAGAGCAAATTCCCACATGTGGCGCATTAAATGATGGTTTAGTGATGCATTTGCTTGCAGCTGCATGATCAGAATTCATTAAATTTGGACTCTTATACACAAGAATGAAAATGAGCTTTTACCAGATAGTGGTCGAACAGGGAGGCACTTGTGGCATTTTGCCTCATTTTGGCAGTGTGATGAATTGAGCCTGGTTGCTTCTTTTCCCTCAGTGAATTTGACCAAGTGAATACTAAATATGATATACAGAACCATCGTTCATTTTTCAGCATTGGACCCAAGGTGAACCCACAGCTGTACATTTTAATTGCAGTGTATACCACAGACCTTGCAGGTGATTTGATTTCTTGAATTCTTCAGGCTATAAGAACAAGTTCAGTGAAATGCACATAAAGTCTTCTTCAAGGAGATGGGTGCTGTATATTCAATAGACATGGTCAATAGTTGTTATCAGTGCAGAGCTTTGAAACCTGAATCCAAACAATCTATCCTGCACACGTCTATCCTCTCACACTTTGTGAGATTCTGACACATGCATGCTCAAACATTATCGTAAAGCCCACACGTCTTACATCATACTAAAACATGCTATCACACACACACACACACACACACACACACACACACACACACACACACACACACACACACACACACACACACACACACACACACACACACACACACACACACTCTAGAACCAATGGGAAAAAAACTATTTCATTCTGCTCTCTCATGCACACTTAAGTCTAGTTTTTCAGACAGACTCACTGCTTACTCAGTTGTGCAAACTTTTCATCTCTTAGAATAACTTTTGTCACCGTCCAACAAAAAGCCCTTTGAAAAACTATGATATTGTCTATTATTGTTGGTTTCTTAACATTCTCTGAATTGCACTTCCCATTCATGCTGTCTTGTTTGAATTATATAAATGACTTGATGTCTCTGTGAGTGATTGACAACTAATCTCCCTGGCATCAATCCCTTTGCATGGATGCATTGAGTCCAGCTGACAGCTTGCTGGCTAGTTTCACATTTTTAAACAACAAAACCTCCAGAACCAATGTTCTCTCTTAACTTTGAAGTGCCTGTGAATAAGTGTTTTCCAGAGTGTATGCTGTTAGTCATTACAATGCAGGGGGCTTAAAAATATCGACCATCTGGCGACCAAAAATAAAAAACACCCTTCATGGTTCATTTTCATTCTGAAAAAAGTTAAAATCATGTAAGGGAGGGTAAAGATTATTAAGTTATCAAGTTATATGAGCTGCAATGGGGGATGTAATTAATTTGCAGTGCATGCTTGGTGAAATTGAGAATACGGCTGATTGGGTTGTGTTCTTGGCCTCTATTTAATGATCTTAAGGCTTATCACACGTCATTTTGTAAGAAAAGGACATTTTATCAAATGATTCACTACTGCAATTTTTGTGTGTGAAAAGATTTGCACGACATGTGCACAACATAAATAAAAACAACTTTCAGTCTAAACAGTGATCTCATAAAGATGGTAGTTGATATTTTGTGTGTGTGTGTGTGTGTGTGTGTGTGTGTGTGTGTGAGACTGTGGAAATGCTAATGTGTAGCACATGGAGTGCAGGTAAAGACGCAGATGTAGAGACCAGGGAACTTGGTAATCTCTTGTATTAGGAGTTTTGGCCGCTGAATCCGTCTTGGCATTAAAGCAGGAGACAGGAGGTAACACATGAACACTTGAGGAGAGGGAGGGGGGGACATGAGGCAACGCCTGGGCTTGGCAGGTGGGATAGAGTGAGGGGAAACCAGGGGTCACAATCACCACCAACTGACCTGCTCGGAGAGATGCTTCCCTCTGAGAAAGAAGCCCAGCAGGCAGCCGATAACCACGGCCAGCACAGACAGGATGAGCAGTCCGTTCTGCTTGCAGACATTCTTCACCCTCCCCCACACTTCTTCCAGAGCTACTGCCATCCTCCACTACCTCCAGCACCTCCGCCTCCTGCTGCTGGTCCTGACTGCAACTTTGCAGAGCTCTCCTCAGAAAACCCTCCTGAACGAGCCCCCCACCCCCTCTTACCAACTATTCAGCCATATAGAGCCAGCACAGAGTCAACAGCCGCCACCACACTGGAACAAACAGCAGAGCGTGGATGGAGGCAGCAGGTTGGGGCGAGACCGATAGATGCAGACTGATGGAGGAGAATGCCGAATTGAAAAGTGGAAACTAAAAGAAAAAGTTCAAAGAAAAAAAGGTTGGGGTTAAGTTTGAGGAGTAGGGGTAAAGTAAAATAAAAGAGGTAGTCGTCCACATATAAAGCACTTCGCGAGGTTTTGATCTGCGTCCTTCTCCAGTTATTCCAAATGAGACGAAGAGCATCACACAGACACACTCTCCATCTGTGTCTGTCTCTGTCTATCAGTGTCTGTTTCTCTCTCTGTCAGTCACCTCCCTCTCTGCCCCACCAACACATTCCTGCTGGTGGCCAACAGGGGGCTCTGCAACAGCTGGTGGTATTGTCATCAGGGTTAATACTACGATCCTATTAGGCCATGCTGTACGACTCACATCTAAGGCTGGATTAGAGAGCTCTCTGAACAATTGGACAGAGGATTGTTCCAGATCACAAAAAAGAAAAAAAAAAAGGAGAAAAACTGCACAAGTGACATGAGGTAAATAACAGCCAAATACAAAACAGGGCTTTGCATTTGTTTTTAATGTTTCACAGAACATAATGATGAAGACACTCCTCGAGGTTCATGTGCCTACACAGAAATGAACACGTCAGTGTGTGCATATTTCTAATCATGTTCTCAGGCACAAACGTACACAGGAATATACTGCATGCAACTTATTCTCTTCTACAAACACACATAAAATGGAGGTCATAAATATTAATCTGAGCTTTAACACACTGTGTGGGTTGAAACCCAATGCATACACAGAGCCAAAGGTGGCCTGAGGCAATTTGGAGGTAGTACAATGTGAATTTTTGTTCAAAGGACAGTGTCAGCTATGCTTGTAAAAAAAAAAAATCATCAATGTGTTGGTATGTATTCCACAGGAAATATATGACGCAGCAGAGGTGAGGCTCCGTCATTTGTTTCTGGAAAACAGTACAAGTCTTTAGCAAAGAGAAGGTAACTCTTTAATCAAACCAGTTAAGCCAAACACACACGTGATGATGCATTTCCACTCTAAATGCATTAATATAACATAAGCAATTAAGATTAATTAAAATGCTTAGATAATGTGCGTTATTGCTTTTTCCATCCTTAAAGAGGATCTGGACACGAGACACCCTATATGTTGCACAATTGGACACAAAAAGTTTGGACTGCCAAACATGCATGGAGTTTGTATTAAACGAGTTCTCTGAAAATACAGGAGCACAAGCACATCAACTAAGTGTGGCTGCACCTTAGCGGACATCTGGGTAAAAGATACATGTTACCGTAGACTCCTAAGCTGCACCAATGCTGCTTCTAATGTGCTGTTGTTTGGAACACTTAACATGTATTTGAACGTTGTTCTTTATATTACAAAAACATCACTAAGAAAACTTTTACATCTCCAGAAGTGAGAATCTTTGATGGGACAATCAAAAAAGAACTGTCTGAATAAAACAAATCAGTATTTCCCCAATTCATTTCTCTCTTTGCTTTCCAGTCATCTTCACACCAGGCGTCGACATCTTAGAAAACATTACGTCCACCTGGTCCTGGTGAATCAAAGTCACTGATGGTTTTGTCTTTTCCTCGAGTCGACTGACTATAAAAAGTAAGAGGAACACTCATAGCCCTTTAATAACAGCAAAACAGCAGCACACATTATTGACAACATTGTTTTGTTTTTTTAATCAATAACATTGTTCCCTGTTATTCAGTATAAATCTGACTCACATTAGAGGGGCCTCATGACAAGCCTGTATGGCTGTATTTGACCTCTCCTGGATATTTCTTTATGCAGTCACATTTATTTTTTTCTTCTTATCACTATTGTTATTGTTCTTTAATGTTTGTGTCTTCTTAAGTGCAATAGAATAAAATAAAAGTATTCTCATATTAACAGGTTAAAGGTGACGTTGGTTATTGACATACACACTACATACAGTCAGAACTGTGTTTCTGACAAATACAGGTGTTTGGGAGCAAATACAAAATATGTTTTGCATCAAATTATCTCGGAATACAACCCATTAGTGACTATCTTTGTGAACTCCAGGTGGGACAGCAAAAGAGCCTACACACGAAATGATAAAGAGTTTTAGGAGGAGGAGAAACAAATGTTAAGCAATTACTGAATTCAAATTGTAATCCCTTACGCTATAATTATTGTTTAAAAAAGAAAATCCAATGGGGTTAGACTATACAATCTTAACTGTTATAAAACCCTGTTGCACCATGCACCTGAAAAGAAACACTTTTATCACAATCACATAAACGTGTCTCTTATCTATGATTAAAACAAGTAGACCCTACCCTATACAGTGAATGACAGATGACGGTACATCACTGACCGCAGTGCCTGACTAAAATCTGCTTTTGTGAAATCTGAATAAATTTTAAAAAAGCAGAAAGATGAACAAATCTGAATATGAAAATAATTCTGGGGTACTGTCAACAAAGGTTGTCAACTCTTAAAAAAGAAATGGAAATTAGATTGTGTGCTGGTGTTCCACAAGCTGAAGACGCTTGCAGAGCCTGCAGGGCAGAATCCTGTGACATGACTGTACATTGTAAGTCGACATGGTTTGTTTGGCTTCTCACAGCGTCTTTGTCCTCTTCACACCATCTGTCTGTCAACCGATGCTCATTATTTGAGAGGGGGAGGCATTAACATCACTATGTGTGTTTTACAACAGTGCAGTTGCATGCAGAGACGTTTGGTTGGCGTCAAAGCACATCAAACCAAATTCTTACATATTGTATCTTTGAGAGGTCCAATCAAAACATGCTCTTTTGAAGGAAGTATTAAAAAGTGTGTGCCAAAAATAAAGATACAAATTAAACAGAAACAGACATCTACATACAAAACGCACAGGTGTGACATAAGAAACCCCTGAGGGCTTGTAGAAGGAACCTGGCTTGAAATTAAAGTGCTTTATTAAATTCACTGCAATTAATACCAATATACTGTTATGACATACAAAAGCAAAAGAGACCATCATCATTGCCTAAAAAAAACTGCACGCTGCAAAAACAATCAATCGTTTTATTTTCCATGTCCAAAATTCTCTTTTAAAGGCAAATGCATTTAGAATATGAATATAGAAAAATGAAATCTGGAATAAAAAATACCAAACAGATTTAGGTGTTCTGAAAAGCTGGAAGAGGAGAAGAAACAATCAGTTGTTTTACACACTATAACACATCTAATTTAAATGAAGGTTTCAGGCTCCTTTTGAACAGTACAAAAATAAGAAATAAGACAAAAAAGGCTTGAAGATCTTCTCAGAGATTAGAGAAAAGGCATTGCATTACATCCAGATATCAATCCCATCTAGAATAGTGCTCAAACATGTTTTCTCAGCACATACACCAGAGAAAAAACTAACTAATGAACAAAGCAACCTTTTAAATGAGACGTGGATCAACAATGTCACATTATTAACACAAGTGTGGGGAATACATAACAATTGCCTCATATGTATTCAGAGTACTCTGAAGGTACAATATGGGGCCTGAAACCTCTCTTCTTTCATGTGTGACTCATCATCAGAAGGTCATTATTTTTCTTCATTCAAATAAAGACAATATATTTTTTTAAATTATAAATAAAATGTTATGTATTTACATTGCAAGCATTCAACAGTCAACATTTAATCAAATAAAAAATTCACTTGACAAGTCCCCAGGCATTTCATAGCAGTCACACAAGCTGCAGTTATTTGAGAAACAACATTCAGAGCAGAGATGTCACACAGTAAGGCTGAGTCACCCTATCTCTCTAAATTAGCCTCAGTCCTGTACACAATCGGTATGAAATCTCTGTGTCTGGGGAAATCATCTGGAACTGAGAATTTTGTGGGCTGACTTTAAAATTGGAAATCCTATTTTATTGAACCTGCTCTGACGCCCTCCAGGCAGCAGCGAGAGCACGGTGCTGTGTTCAGAGCGATATCATTGATTCTGACAACTCAAATAATAATGTGACTGAATCTGAACAGTCTATAATAAAATTTAAACCGTCAATATTGTATAAAACCATCAGCCACCAGGGAGAAGTTTATGCATCTGTGAAAAAGGAAATCAAATTCCTTAGAGGTTCCTGTCTGGATGTTTCTTTCATTTACCTTTCACCTTTTTCTAATGGTGATGTTGGGTCATATATATCGATCTGGAATCATTCCATGACTGAGTTTTGAAGGGGGGTCTGTATGTGAGGAAAAACTGAGATGTAATTGCTGCCAGGTAATTAAATATTATATGTTGGGTGCAAATTTAAACACGTGATCCGATGCAGATTCAGGACTTTTTAAATAAGAGGTAAACAAGAAGGGAATCTAACAAAGTGTTAGACACAAAATTATGCATAAAATGCCCCAAAAAACAAGATAAAGCAAGATGCATGTTTGTTTTCTGCTCCGGGTAGCAGGTCAGGCTTGGTTTGGATAGAGAAGAGGAAATGACACGCCTGAAGGCAGGCTTTTAAAATGTTGGGGGTGTGGCTTAAACAGGTGTGGCAAGGACAGGTATGGTGATGCAGGTTGGGTGGAGACTCGTGATTTAACAGGGGGATACTAACAAAGCTGACCCTAGGACTCTTTTTTTTTGTAAAGATTAAAGACAGATCTCGCTCAAGCAAACACTTTCTTTCTAAGGTGTACAGATACTTGTGTAAAACACAGTTTGATAATAACTCCTCTAAACCACTTGCGTCACATGCAAAGCTAACCGTATGAGTGCAGAGCTAACTTAAATGAAGCTCCTTATAAATAGCAATACATGTTCTTACCACAATAAATTCAGTT